TAGACTTTAGTGTTGCGCGTCATCCCCTAACACTGTTGATTTTGGTTCCTTTCCTATCTTCATAGAGGCTTTATTTGAGTTTTAAATATAAAGATTAAAATCAAAACTCATTAAAAATACATGAACTATTCGTTAAGCTCAGATCAACAAGTTATATATGAAACCATAGGGCATAAAACCAACAATTTAAAGTTATAGGGATCAAAAATTAATATCCAATCAAATTATATAAAAACTAAGAACAGTATTAATCCATCGGAGAAAAAATTTCATAATTAATAGATAATGTAATATAGAAAAAAGTTTACAGTCTATAATTCTATGTACAAATGCTTCAAGAATTCTATGTACAGACGCTTCAACGTGCATCACGTAATGAGGTGACATACCGCCACACAATAAACAGTAAAAGGATAGCTGATGGAACGTTACAGGTTCAAGGGAACAAAACAACAATGATTATAAATTCGCAGTGTCCATTCGACCATTCCTATGCTATTCTGGTCCATTACCTCTCTCTTATCTTAAACAACGCCGTGTTTTCCGTGTAAAATGATACTACCTTTAGTTTTAATTATAAAATTTTGTTTACAGACTACAAACCAGATTTTATAACTAGGAGGGGATGTAGTATCTGTTTGTGCTCTGAGAAATTTTGGTTCATGGAACAGAAAATAGAATGAAATAGGAGTTATTTTTTTTAATTTTGAAAACAACTTTTGTTTTTAAAAAATAAAAAAATTGTTTGATAATATTTTAGTTAGGAGTTTAAAAACCATAATAATATGTTTTTAACTAACAAAGATCGGATTAAGCAGAAGGAGTTAGTTCCTCATAAAGAGACGAACCAAAGATCGAATCTCCGTTAGGACTTAGGATAAATGTCTATATTTAATGCTTGACAGGACTTTTTCGAATTGAAACATATCTATATATAGCAACAAAAATAATAATAATAATAATAATATGTTTTTAAAAACTAAAAAAAAAAACCTAAACAATGTTTAAATAGTTTCTTGTTTTTATTTTTGCATTTAGTATTTTTTTTTGTTTTAGAAAATCAAGAAAAACCCTTTCTTTTCCATTATTTACCCATCGCCCGCGATGTGTTCCCGCAAATGATGGCCATCGCCAACCATGTGTTCCGGTGAGTCGCTACCACCTCACCCACAGCTACCGCTATTGCTTGTTAGGTGTTCCCACCAGCAAGCAATTTAGCAACATAAATTATTCATGGAAAATTTCATGGGAAAAATTGGTAAAAAAATCACTGTTTGAAATTTTAATTGGCCAGAAAGACCTGATTTGTGCAAGTGTGAGTATGATCTGTGAGTGCAACATATCATCCGCTGTGTGCAAATTACTCATAGTGAATGATATGTTGTACTTACAGGTCATACTTGCACTTGTACAATTTCAAGTCCTTTTGACAAATTAAAATTTCAAACAGGGATTTTTTACTAATTTTCCCAAATTTCATTGTTAAATTTTATCTTATTATGAAAAAAATTCTATTACTAGTTCTCATAGCTAAAAATTTTGCTTCGGATTAGTGATGCAATGTTTTCGTCGCTAAAAATAGAACATATGGTTACATATAATTGAAAATTTTAACATAATAAACATAAAAATTGATGTAAGTATTGTCTTATTTTTAAAAATTAAACTGCATTGTTCACAGTCCTTGACATTATTAAAAGCTTTACAGAATTTTCAATTTCATCCTAATGATTTAAAACTTTGGAAAACCACTCTCAAGTCTCACACAACTATTCAAAATATAAAAAAAAAAATTTCTTGTAATAATCAAGTTACTCTAAAATCTCATGTCCTTTGGTTATAAATAAGTTTAGTGTAAATTAACCAAAATACCTTAAAAAAATCCTCCCTCCCCATTCACATGCGCACCAAACAAATTCGATTCATTATATATTTTAATACGTACAATGATATCTCAAACCCTAATAAGTTGTAGTTAAATTTTTTCCTCATAAACATGCATGTAGGGAGTATATATACACACACACACACACACTCTTTTTCTCAAATCAAGTTTTGTTTCATTTGGCTTTTCAACTAGTGTTTTTAATTGTCAACAATTTGATGGTATTATTAATAGAATTTCACCCATGTGAACTTAAAGAGTCACTACAAAAGATAGAGAAATTGTGACCACATAAATTAGATTTTCACCAACAATCCGATCCGCTGCCAATATGTTGTAAATTCTGCGACAAAAAAATTGTCATTATTAATCCATCATAAATAACTTAGTCATAAATAATTTTAGGATACCTTATTTTAGTTTTGTGATAAAATTCTTGACAGAATATTATAAAAAAATTGTGACAGAATCATCACTCAAATCTTTTCATCACCAATCCATGACTAACTAGCGGTGCCTCTCCTAATAAAAATTGAAAAAATTGCAATAAGGCTTCAATTAAGTAACACATTCACAAAAAGTTCCATAACAATTAAATAGCTTGTAATGAGTAGTTCTACAACAGAAAATAACATGTTTAAACTATTCACTTGTTATTGAGATTTTTTAGTGATTATTTTTTTTGGGACCTCACAATAATTCTCCCATAAAAATTTTAGGTGATTCTTGAATATGTTCATGAAAAGTATAGATGATTAAAGCACAATATCATTAAAACATGGGAAATTTTATGCACTTCATGAAATTATATGTCCGGCAATATCTGAAAAAGAAAATTGTTCCTAATCAGCAATTAAAAAGTCTTTCTCGTTTGAGTAAAACCTAGTTTCTCATTCACCCATCATTTGAGTTATATCATGGTTGCAATACCTTTCCTGCACCATGCTTTTTTTTTTCCTCCCCAAATTAAAGGTTAATATCATTACTTGTTCTTATTGTTATATGGAAATTTGGTTTTAGACTCCCATATATAGTTTTATAATCTTTTGATCTAAGCTTGGTAAATGATCTTCATGTTTTATGAGTAGTTTTGGTTTTGATTTCTAAATTTAAACTCATACTAAATCCTTATGAAACTATATGGATCAAAACTATTAGTTTGAAACTACAAAAATCAAAATCAAAATTAAATCCCTAAAATCATATTAACTCAAAAATTGAAAATAAATAAATTGAAAGATCGTATATCAGTGGTGGACAAAGCATATATATAAATCTGTCGGCATAGGCATGGATTAAGAAAGATGCCCAATTTGCGGGGTAATTTAATGCAGGAAATATCGAGAGAAGCATGCTTTTTCTATCTTGTCTTGTTGGCCTTTATGAAGTTCTCACGTGATCGACGTTTTTTCTGCAACTTGTTTTGATCAGAAAAAGAAGAGGTGCTTAATTAATTGGCCTCTTTAATTGATGCAAGTCCAAAGAATGACCTGAAACGTCAATTCCTATATTCTCTCTGCCACGCGTTAGCTCTCTCAAGTCTCCACTTCATCTGCCCCACTGTGCTCTTCCTTCCCTCTCATTGCGTTGTGGCAACTGTACAAACTTTATGATAGAGGCATTTCTAAGTTCTAAACAGCTAAAGATTTGCTGGGAATTGCAATTAGATAGCTTATAAATGGATTTTTAATTATGATTTATCATATAAATATATGAGAAGAGTTTTATCTCGACGCATATCAAAATGTTTATAAATACTTAAAAAACGTAGGCACAAACAAACCCCAAAAAGCGGTGCTTAAGTTGTTCACTTTGTCTGAAAATGTAATAAAATTTCAAGTTTTTATGATACAAAAGGAGAAGGACATCCTTCAAGCAACACTTTTAATTTGTATTAAGCAGGGATAATATTGAAAAAATTAATAAATGTTCTCTATCTTGTTTTGTTTTTTTGCCAACTAATTAATATTTTATCACGTGATCGACTTATAATAAACGCAGGGACAAACAAACCCTAAAAAGCCTTGAGGTGTTCACACTATCAATAGGTTCGGGTCAGGAAACACCTAGTTATTAGGGGAAGGGAGTACTTTTGCCCAAAGTGGCACGCTATTGTAAGGTATTAAAAGTAAGCATGAAGTTGCAAAATTAAAGTAAAAATGACACTGCTATTAAAATAAGCTAACAATTATTTTTTCAAGTAAGTGGCACGCTATTGTTATACAAGTAATGAAATACTCCCAACTCAACAGGTTAAAATTTTACTCAAAATGCGTCAAATACGGTATACTTAGTGTCAGTTTATTATTATAATTAATAAATAGACATTAGAATACTTAGAAACATAGTCGTATCATTCCTTCACATTATTAACATGTTCCCATCATTTGATAAACTAAAATGCCTAAAGAACCAGCCTCTCTGTGAATTGGACCTAGGTGTTTGCTACTCTACGTGTATTACATTTCTTACCTAGTGGTTTGCAACTACTTCCTTAGCATAAACAATAGACAATGATTAATGCATAAAACTACTTCTTCCTTCATAGAATTTAACAAAGAATAAATAAATAAATTGAATTAATTAAATAAACATGAGAAAATCTTACAAATTTAAAATTTATTATAATATTAAAATCAAAGCACATGTCAAACGATTTTGTGCTAATATTTTAGTTTCGCAACTATTTTAATATTACATAAAATCCTAAATTTCATTGAAAAAACAGATCGGTGGAGAAGTATATATTCAATATCCTTTAAATATGACAGACTTATTCCCATTTGAGAGATCAGTATCTAAATTCCAAATTGGGTAGATATATTATCAGATGCCAAATCACAATTAAAACAAAAATAAAGTTTCTAAATGTTACTACAGGAAAGAATAGCTTCATAACTCTGTTATTTAGTACAGAGGACACAGATTATTACATAATATCCATACCGCAAACTATATATCATGACGCATGATAGTCACGGGCACAACACGGCAAACTAAAGTGCGTAGTACACGACAACAAAGGTACATATAGTACTCAAAACACACCGATATTTATTCATTATCGTATCACAGAGACAACAGAAAGCAAATCAGCTAGCTCATGGATGCATGATCATGGAGTCCATTTGGTTTTCAGAACTGTGGTCCCAATCTCGACGTTCAAATTCTCTGATGCGTGGTGATAATGGATCCCATGGCAACACTTGTAACTAGCATTTTCAACTTCCATAATCTTCTTCTTACAAGATGGCTCAGGGCAAGTGATGGTGAAAGGAACTCCTGATCGTATATTGCTCATTTGGAAGTGGAGACAAGGAGGAGGAACACTAGCCTTCTTTTCACTGTAATACTTCATAAATGCAGTATCAAAACCTTGAAGCACTGGCACGTTCACTCTCCATTCATCGAAATCCTCCAATACGCTTGTTACCAGGGGATCAAACCCTATAACCAGCACGTTGGAGCCTTTGCTCAGAAGGGCCCAAGTTCTCTCGTTTTTGTATGACATTAAAGTTTTCAAGTCTTTAAGAATAGTGTCCTGTTTGGAGTTCTTCGTTTGAACTCTGCTTAACATCGAGTTGGTGATCTTGTTCCGGAAATTGGACGCAGAGGTTTCGTCAAGCTTTGACAGGTTGAAATGCTCGATTATGGCGTCTGCTTGCTTGATGATGGGGTCCTTCTTAATGGAGTCTAACAGTGTACCAATCCTCTGGGTCCCAGCAACGTCAGTTCCTCCATAAATAAAGATGTGTGTGTCATTCTGAATCTGAATATCATAATATTTGCATTGGTTTTAAGGAAAAGACAAATTTCAAATATGATCTGGTAACATATATGAAATATTTGTAATCCATCTAAACCCCTAAATTTTGACTTAAAAGAATCAAATGTTTATGATTTATTAACTTGAAATAATCCAATTCATATAATTAATTAGTTGTAATCAGTTAAAGTCTATAGAACTGAATTGATAGATAATTAAGAAACAGTTTAGGAAGATAGTACCGACCCATTTTTCAATGTCTGGAAAAACTTTGGTTGCTTGATTCCAAAACCACTTCCAATGAAGGGAGAGTCTTTCTTCATCCTCAGGTCGAAATGGGAAGGCTTGAATCTTCCACACAAAGATCATGTGCATTGCATTATTGTGAATGACTTGACCTCTAGGGTTTGTGACGACGACAATAGGCTTTGCCTGGTAATGCCACAACTCTTCTAAAACCTTCTTTCCTTTAATGGCGAACAGGTTCTCTAAGACGTACCATGGCATGTTTGATTTCAGATGCTTGAACTTCTCCTTCTGATCATTAGTTTCCTCCACCACAGGAACCCATAAAATTTCATAATTTTGTTTCTCTTAGTCTTTTTTGAATGCATCATGGATAGATTTCTAAACCCAAATCTCGTCTTCAATGTTGTCCAGAACAGAAATGAACAGTAAACGATTCTTCGTCTTCAAAACGTCATTGCTTACCTGAAAAAGCACGATTCATTAAAGCTGTTGATACAAATTGAGACTACGGTTGAAATAGAATCTTATTCTTGGATTTTTTTTAATATTTTAAAATAATTTATTGAGTGTGAAAGACTTACCACTTGTTGAGTAGTGTCGTCGAAGATTTCTAGCTCAGTAATTTCCTTGGGGAAAATGAGAGCCCTCAAAAGATCCACAATTCCAGAAGGAGACTTAAACACATCCTCTCGCCAATTTCAGTCTATCCGACCAACTGAAAATTTCAATGAATTAAGATTGTATTAGCGTTGGATATATTACTGGGACAATGATAGTTTTAATTACGTCCTAGAATATCAATTTAATAACATTTCTGTTCCAACAAATTTTTATAAAAAATAAGTTGCGAATATTAATTAAGATCATGGTCAATATGAGCGTCAATTGCAATCTAGCTATTTGGTACGAAGAAAATGGAGAGGAGGGAATGGTAAGAAAAACTTTAATAAGCTTGATTCAAAAAATTAAAAAAGTAGGGCAATAAAATTTTAGTAAAAAAAATTTATGGTAAAAGAAGAGAAAAACTTAATTAAAACTTAACTCCACTTTTCAAATTTTTCAAATCAAACTCGTGAAATTTTTTCCTCCCCTCCCTTTTATTTTCCTCGTCTCAAACAAACCTAGACATTTAAGTGTCATAATTCATTCTCAGTGACTTACAATTAAAACTCTAACATATGTAAATGTCTGGTAAGCTTGGAAACACTTGAAAATAGTGATTATTGAAAAGTTGAAAAAAAACTCATAAGCAGTTCTTTTCCGTAACCTTCATCATGCGCAATCTCATTCAACTCATTAGTCAATCTCATGACAACCTGATTGAGCTTCCCAACAACATCGGACTTGATGTTCCAATCCCTATATCCATTGGAAAATAAGCACATTAGGCAATAGAACTTCCCAAACACAATAAACTCTGTGAAAGGATGCAAATTCATTAAAAAATATTCAAGAAACAAATGAAACACTCACAGTTCAGTCGTTCGATTAGAACAAGTGAGAACGGCCAAGATTGCCCAATAAGCATAGAGTTCTCGAGGAGCAATATACAAAGTTGGGCTTTGGGATTTCTCAGCGATCTTCTTCTCCAATGTTGAAATCCCCTCAATAAGTTTGAATGTAATATCCACCAACGTTTAATGAGGTCTAAGTTGTTCTTGCTAGGCTTGGGTTCTTCCCCAAGCCTGAAGATATGGAGTTCAAGAGCATTTTCGTTGGTAGGTTCCATGAGAGCGAGACGCCAAGTTTCGCCAAAGTCCAAAGCAAAAGCCGAGAGATCTATCACTTGCGTCCCATGAGTAGCTTTTAAGCTTCTCCAGAATTCCCACCACTGTTTGGTGTGCCGTAGATTTCTCAAAAGGCTTGCATGTCATCTATAACACCAATTTATTAGTATCCAGTCTCTTCCATTCGACCTAATTTATTATTTTTGTTTCGAAAAGAACTATCTGATATAAGAACATGGAAATGAAGAATAATGACCTGACAAGCGATTTCTTTGAGGGTACTGAAAGGTAGCATGAAACTGGACTGTGGAACCTTGTCTTCCACAAGTTCAACAGCTTTGGGACGCTGTTAGAATAATATACAAACAAACAAACAGAAACAGATGATAGTTAGTTAATGAATAAACAGAAAGTGTTCGTAAGAAAAATGGGGTTTAAATGAAGTAATTAATTAAGAACCTTGAGATCGAGGTAGGTGCCGATGTGAGTGGAGCTCTTGATAATGTTGGAGACAACATTGTAAAGAGAACCGACATCGTACTTGGGGGCCTGCAAGTCATGGATTCCGATGATGTGGTTGGAGATGGCTTCATCAGTTGCGGAGATAGGGTTGATCTGTTCCAACAAAGATGAAGCTGATGGAACGAAGAGCATCTTATTCTTGGTCGACATGTCTACAAGCGTCGTATGATCTGACAGAAGAAGAAGAAAAATATAAGAAGAGGACTAATTGTTGTGCTCTGTGGTTGCCTCTGCTTGCTGCTTCTCATGGCGTATTTATAGGCCGTAAATGGCATGTGGAAGAATTATAAACAACAACAACAATAACAGAACGTGAACAATTGAAACTATTGTGTCATACAGATCCCTCTGATTGAAATCTGGACACGGTTTGTATTATTTTATCATGTGGGAAGGATGAGTTAACTAAACGATGTTTTGAGGTTTAGACCAAACTCTGTGTGTGTCTCTATATATAGTAAGAGAAGATTAAGAATAAGTTAGAAACTATTGGAAATAAATACTTAAATTTAATCTCAGTTTGAGTTAAAAAAATATTAAATTTCAGCTTACTAATCATCATATAAAATTACATGATTTTTTCTAAAGTAGTTTTGGAAGATCGGTTAACTAAACGATTATATAATCAATAATTGACAAACCTATGTTTTACATGTATTTTTATATCTTTCTAGTGAGTTTTTATCATTATTATTGATCCTTAATTGCATTATTTGAGTATAATTTATATTAGAGTGCTTTAACTTGAATTAGTACATAATAGGGGTAAATTTGTCATAAGTGTGATTGATTGATTTTTAAGGATAATTAATCCTACCTTATTCTTAAATTTTGATTGCAGGTGTTTGGAAGATTTAAAAATAAAAATAAAGAAAAAAAAGAAAAATAATAATAAAAAGGGGAGCAAAACGCAATGTTTTGCTCCCATCCCTAAATCAATTATCATCATCTTCAGCATTCAGGAAAAAAGCAGAGTGACTGCACAAGAGAGACACAGCGAGCAGAGGGACCTGCGACGGCGCAGAAGAGCTTGACAGGAGGCAGAAAAACACAAGAGAGGACCTGAAGTTAATACCCTTAATTTGTAGTTTTGGGGTTACTCTAAAAATTAACCGAATTAATGTAATATATTACACAATCCGGGTTATATTCATTTTGAAGAGTCGAAAATAAAATTAAATCCTAGTAAATTAATGCAAGTAACCTAAACTGTAAAAAAAGAATTTTTGATTTGATAATTGCTAACTAAATGTCATGAATTAAATTGAAATTAAAATACTTTTTTTTTATTTTTTTATATAAAAATGATTAAAATGAATGAAGATTAAAGAAATGAAAATGAAACACACAAATAACAATGATAATAATCAATCCTCTAATTCAACAACGCAGGCAATTCTCATTCCAAAAGATACGGGAGTTAAAACAATGAATTTAGAATTATAATTAAGCTTTTAATCCAACAACCGAGCCACCTCGAATTGCCACAAAATATTTTCCTAAAATCCCAATTTACTAACTGCAACCAGAATAATAAAACGGGATTAAGGATGCTAAAACCAATGTTTAGGGGGTGTTTGGATGGAAACCAAATTATGGTTTCAGAAGTGATTTTACAGTCTATGAGGTAAATATGTGGAGGAGTTTATCTCGATTTGCAGAAAAGTTCTTCTGATAAGCACTTTTTGGGGTATCCAAACACCCCATAAATCCAAAACAGCAGAATTAATACTAGCAAGAGACAATATGATCCAAGATTCCATGTTACCTTAGAAAATCATAATATATTAACTCCAAAATCAATACGAATATTATAACCACAATATTATAATTGAAATTAAAGCTATAAACAGCCCAATATCAAATGCTAAAGAATAATCCAGTCACAATAATTTCCAAATATAATAAGATTAAACAATAAAAATTTTCTAATAATCAAAATAACTATCCTAAGACACAGGAATTGTTAAACAATTATTAGACAGGAAATTAAAATAACTAAACTCCCTTTTGATGATCCGAACTCCTGCCATTATTGTTGAATTAGAGAATTATTAAGCTTTAGCCACGGTTTACCATCAAGAACGCTGTGATCAATACTCTGTTACAGTCTGCCATGGAAGAGGTGATGGAACAGTGGATGATATTGAAGGAAATGGAGGAAGGATACGTGATGGTGGATTTTGGTGGATATGAAAGATGATGATTCAAAGTGAAGAAATAGGAGTTGGGGAGATGATTGCCGTCGCTGGTCTCCTCTGGTTCTGTCACTCTGTTCTGCTCACTGGCCACCCTCTGGTTTGCTGCTCAGTGTTGATTCTAGACGGAGGAAAAGAAGAAGATGATGAGTGTTGCCGTCGAGCTCTGGACCTCACTCAGCTCCCTCGCCTTTCTCTCGCGTACTCTGCTCCTTCCTTCTTCTTTTTTCTTTTTGCCGCCAGCTCCCTGTCTTCGCGAAGATGATGATGACTTTGTGAATTAGGGATGGGGGCAAAACGCTTGTTATTATTATATTTTTTTTCTTTAATTTATTTTTATTATATTTTTTCTTCTTTTTTATTTTTATTTTTAAATCTTTCAAAAACCTGCAAACAAAATTCCAGGATAAAGTAACATTAATTGTCCTCAAAAATCAATTAGTCACAATTAAATCAAAATATGACAATTTTGTCCTTTTAAAATGATAATTCAAAATAAAACATATTAAATCAATTAACAACCAATTAAGACCAAAAGAACTAATTAAGTTGACAAAACCCGTATAAAAGATATCAAAATATATAAAAATAATTGAGCTTGTCAGGACCAGCGGTGAGGAAGAGAGAACGAAGGACTAGAGCTTCACGATGATCACAGTTCCTTTCTTCTGAGTCTTCATCTTCCATCGACAGCATCTCTTCTTCTTTCTTCTCCACGACTTCTTCCTGGTGGCAGAGACAGATCAGCCACGACAGAGAAAAAGAAGAGATCAGTGATGGCATGACAGAACCAGAGACCAGAAAACATTGA